GATGATGTACTTACGACTGATACTGGGGTTCTGATGATGTACTTACGACTAATACTGGGGTTCTGATAATGTACTTACGACTGATACTGGGGTTCCGGAAGGCACATTTTCTTTCAGTGTTCCCTGATAAGATTGAGTAAAAGTGGGTATTTGATCGTTGACGTCCAGAACTTCAATAGTTACTTCGCTGACGCTCTATCAATGAAGAACACGCATTATACAAACAAGAAAACATTAGAAGATCGTATGTTAATTAAAGGTTTCCGGAAAGCTACACAAAACTTAGCTGTCCCTAATTTTGAACTAACACGCTATAAAAGAAAGACAACTACGTACCACGCTCTTGTCTGACCAAATAGTGGATGTCGGCTCCAAAGTACGGAGCGGAGGGTGGAATGCGTTAATGGGACGCGGACCACGAATGCTGTGATTCACAGTCCGCTAAACACTGACCCCGACAGCAAGACTGTTTAAAAGTATTAAGTTATTTTTGTATGTTTATATGACAACTCCAAATAACTTGTTTTTAACTTTTAATACTGAATAATAGATTGTTAATTATGAGGGGTAACGGACTAACAACTGAAGCTAGAAACCTAATTTATTAAAAACGTAGCACACATAATCAATTCTTGTGAAAAAAGAAACACTCTAAAATTAGGGCCTAGATAGTTAATACTGTGTCACACTGGATCATGATCCGTGAGGCACAAATTAAACGTGCCGGTTATGACTTAGTGGCTAGCATGCCTGATTGTGAATCAGAGAGTGGTCACTTTGGTCCGTGGGTGTTATATTACTTACAGTCCGATATAGCTATTCGATCAGAATAGGCTGTGAGTTGTCAGTGGATGTTAATGACTTATGTTGTTACATCTCCATAAAATATCAGTTCCAAATTAAAGACAGCTAGAGCAGATACCTTTTATATAATATTGCGCTAATTTACGAAACAAATGAAAACTAAATACATAATTAAAATTCCTTTAAAATTACCAATTCTTAGAAATCAAAAGCAATTTAAAGTTTACAACAATTTAAAGTTTGAAACTGACACATTGGGAAAACGCTAAACACAGGACTCTTTGTGGTGAGTGGCGTTACAACAAAAAGTGTGAAATCACTTAGAAACAAACCAAACCCAAAATAACCTTGTTTCTTTCAATTTAAACAGTCTGCTGTAGATAAATTAGTCAATTTTTATACATTTAGACAAACTGTTAGAGCCAAATTTGTTTATTTTTTTCCAGTCAGACGAAACTTGAAACTGTTGAAAATGACGACGAGAAAGTAAAAATAGTTTTTACACTAATTAAGAAAACATTTTATGTTCCGATATTTTGTTTTATCTACTATACCAGATAACTTAGATGAATACTTTAGTATAAATGTTGGTATGTTGTCTTGTTTATTAAATACTCACTACTTTAGTTGACGGTCTTCGTTCTTCTAGCATAACAGTGAATGTATGTCGGCTGCGTGTCTCTCTGTCCAGACCAACCTTGGTGAAAATCTGTCCATCCTGCAAACAGTCCCAAGCGTTAGGGCTAACAATTATATATCTCTAAAACTAGCCCTACACCTACAAGGGAACACTACGTCACCTTCAGTAAATATGATAAGTTGATGACAGACAAACGTTTGATAAAAGTGATGATTTTTTTCTTTAGTAATACAACCTCTTGGTACATAGTGACCTTAGTGATACACCATCTTGGTAACGGCTGACCTCAGTGATACAACCTCTTGGTTAAGG